CCTAAACCCTAAACCCTACCCGAAGGATATCGGTCAAAGGTTGACTTAGCCTGGAGGGATCCTCGGAGCAGGGCTTGGCATCTGCGCACTCCCACAAAACTCGACACGTAGGACCTGATGATTTCCTTAAGGACGAAATGAACCCTAAAAGGGCTTCAGGTTCATATACCATATAGGGGTTCATAGTATCAGGGTATAGGGCCCCTACTTATAAGGGTCATTTGATCCCCAAGGGATGACTTGATGAATAGATCAAACGAAACTTTGAACGACGTTATGCGCTGACAGTGTCATACCCTGGAAACCCTAAACATCCCTGAAGCCCTTGCGCCGCAAGCCCTGACTCTCTAAACCCAAAACCTTGAAACGCAAAACCCTAAACCGAAACCTAAACCCGAAACCCCTAAACCCCAAAATCCCTAAACACCGAGGCAAGGCGAAGCTCTTCAGCACACACCCCCGCCTCCGCCACCTTCGCCCCGGGTCTGCAGAAGGCTTTGAGGTGTGAGGATCCATATACGGTTTAGGAGTTTAGGGGTTTGGGGTTTATATAGGATATGAGGATCTATATGTGAGCCTAGGATGCTTGCGGGTAGAAGGCTCTGTCACTATGGTCCCTTTTTTGTTGGGGTGAGGGTGTTGAGGGGGTGGGGGGTGCTCAGGGATTTAAGGTTCGGCTGTCCTGGCGGAAGGCCAGGTGTCTACTTTTAGGGCTCAGGATTCTCGGTCTTGCGTCGGCCCGAAGCATAGCGGATGGCATCCACAAGTGTCAGTCCTAGTCGGACAAAAATGGAAGTTTTGCTTCGACAGTTGAGACTCAGAACCACCCTTACAGTTGTGTGAACCGTAGCGTGCGAAAAAGTTGGGCAGCTGACGGCTCCTTGCGGCCGTCAGCAAGATCTTTGGGGCCTTGACATGCCACATCCCCTGCACAAATTGGTCCGATGTGTGGGTGGGTGTGATGTAGCTACGCCGTATGCCGTATGCAAAAGGGGATGCGACATTGCATTGAGGTCGGTGTGCTTGACGACCGGCTTCGTTGCTGTGATAGCAGACGAGTCCACTGTCGTGGAGATGCCCGTGTTTCTCCTGGCACTCGCATCCAAGTTGGAAGCGTTTTCTCTGCGGCCAGTCCGTGCGCTCGGTCATCGGTTTCAAGAACATCAAGGCCGAATCAAGGGTGTCAAGGCCTCAACCATGGGGTAGCAGTCGCATCTACCTGGATGCTGTTCGTTTGCTGGCTGCTGACTGCTGAGTGCCCCGGTCGGCACCTGGCAGGAAGTTGTTGTGTAAGGTTCGCTGTGTGGACTGTGGGCGTGTCTGCTGATGAATCCGGAACAGTGGCCCGTGCTGGACCCTATTGCTCCGCAAAAGAACAAAATTGTCCCAAGTTCCAAATCAAACTGCGGTTGGAGGGGTAAGTCATACTAAGCTTCCCTTTCCGCGTGGGATTGAGAGTCTTCTTGCACGAGAGCGGTGCTCCGTGCGTGTTGCAAAAGTGCCATACCAGTGTGCTGACCCGCAGTCGGGCTGGCCGTGGCAAGAAGCATCCCCCATCCTGTGATGTTGGCTAGCGACGTGGGCGATCGTCGGGCACTTGCATCCGATTCGTGATTCAAATGGATAGTTGTCAAAATTAGGGTCCCTTTTGGGGTACCCTAAATAATAGGTGCCGTATTATAATAAGGACCCAAAAAGGGACCATAATTTTGACAACCACCCAATTAAATGGATAGTTTTCGATCTTGGCACCATGGAGTTCGTCACAAGTATAGAGCCGATTGCCCAGCCAGCCCCGAATTCCAAAAGCACGTCGGGCAGGGTCGAGAATGGTCGCATTCCATGACTTGTGTTGCTTCTTTTGCTCATACTGTTGCATTATGTTGAGGATGTCTTAGAACGAGCTTGCTACGTGAATTGGATGCGGACAGCAAGAAGCACACGGCAATCGGCGGGCAGAACCGACTGACTAACTCGACTGCCCAAAGCTTCGAACTGTGAATCTTGACTGCTGGAAGCTGTTCCAGCTATACCTGCAGGCTAGAAACTGTTACAGCCGTAGCGGTGCCGTATGCCTTGCATAGCGAACTTCCTCTTCTTCCGCTAGCTTCAGACAAGGCGACCTGTGGGCAGAGACCGTCGATCTCCCTGCGTTTGAGAGATGATGTGGGTGAAGATGAGGCTGGTGATGATGATGATGATGGTGATGATGATGATGGTGATGGGTTTAGGGTCTAGGGTTTATAGGGTTTAGGGTTTTGGTGTCCTCATTGCCATTTCTTCTCCGAACAGCCTTGTACACACTATGGGGTTCTTGCATGTCATATAGGTGCCTTAGTAATTACTCATACTATTTTGGGGGGGTTCCTCATTATAACTATAGTATAATGGGCCCCAAACCCTATTGTAATTATTAAGGCCAATAAGGCCCCTACAGTAGAGTGCAGAAAATTTGTGGTACTTTGTGCAGCCCCGAGGCTTCCCCGGAGGAACGGCACGCGCATGTTTTTCCACTTTTCTGCACACGATCGGCGCGGCCACATCATGCCGGAAAACCCAATGTATTGTAAATTCCAATACGCTGGCCTCGTGCAATTTTGGCTGCGAAATTCCGCCATTGCATGAGGCGAAGCTTATGTTTCGTTCTTGCCTGTGGTTCCCTGCAGTATTTATCACATGGTCTTCTGATGTCTGTTGCCGGTGGTCCTGGTCGTCATTGTCGTGGCGATCGTGGTAGTGGTCGTGCTCCTCGCGGTGTTCTAGCATGGTTTGGGGATCTATGATGGCATAGTTTTTGCCGGCGCCCGTTTTCCAGCGTTGCTGGCGCTGATAGAGCACCTGGTCGGAGGATCCGACATACCAGAAGTCTATACCCATAGGCCCCGTAGTAGTTCCTTTTTGGGGTTACCTTATAGGGTTCTATATATGAACCCCAAAAAGGAACTACTTTAGGGCCTATGGGTAATCTCTCATTCCGGCAGTTCTGAGATCTGCTTCTGCCACAATCTGGTCGAGGGTTGCGGCCTTGGGGTATTTAAACTGGTAAATCCTCAACTGACGCGGCCATCTCTGGGTGGCCAGGGCGACACTTACTTGAAACAGGGATTGGACCAAAAGCCTCACGACGGCCCCATACTCCACACGAAGACTTGGGCGACTCATAATCAGGATTTTTAGAATTAAGGCTTACGGATACAGTTCAGGATAGAAGATCAGGTCTTGACAAAAGGCAATGTCTAAGGAGTGGAACCCCAGAACCTGCCAGGGGAGCAGACCAGTTGCACACCAAGCTTGTTTTGCAGGTGCAAGCACGTGTCTGCTTCGAGACTATAGTTTGGGCGAGTGTGCACTGGCTGTAACAGCAGTCTACTGGTTTGTGTCTGTGTCTGTGTGGTGCTCTTTAATTAATTGCCCGAGTTCACTATGACATATTTCCCCAGCCTCAGCAGCACTCCACGCTGAAACAAAAACTTTGTGCAATGCACAGAAATCACTCGTCAGACACCACGGTGAAAATTGCACCTGTGATGCCGATGTGTTCTATGGTGTGTCGATCGTGAGCACATATTGCCACACTGTGGCAGATCACAAACATGATAACAACGGGGTGGTAGCATCGCAGACTGAGCAGCTGTACACGTACTGCAATATGAAGACCCTGCAGCTGGCTTCGGAGGTGTAGTAGAAGATGCAGGGCCAGGGCGTTCAACATCAGAGTTCTCGGATCCATATGCTTCGTCTCCAGCCTTGAAAGTAACTTCAAAATCACGTCTGAGCTACCATTAAAAGTAAATGCATTAAATCAGCTCAAGGACTTGTTGCCGAAATTTCCGAACCTAATCGAAGCCTCCTAGCCCATTATTTGTCCGCCTGGCTCTCAACAGAAGCTGGTGTTGGCAAGCCGATTCGTGTAGCCAGCTCCAGCATCAAGATGATCAAGAAACGCCACACTTGCTCCGTGTTCATGTTTGCTGCGCTTTTCCGCAGATCCTGCCACTTCCGATCCATGTTTGTCAAGAGGTCGTAAAGATATGCCACTAAAGGGACCGGGGGAGAGCCCAAAACTTGCAGCAATCATCATAGTAGAGATCTCAGGTCATGGGGCTCATGTCTCGTGGCTCATGACACTGGTTGAAGTGTTCTCATTCTGATTTTGCAAGGAAATCAAACTCAGACTCAGACTCAAACTAACTGCTCCCAAGGCTCACAACTTTGCTGGTTCCGAGTTGCAACATTGCAAATTCCAAACTTGCAAACTGCAAACGAACTGATGTCGGCACTCAGGACTCAGCGAGAAGTCTCTCAAGTTTTGCCCCCTCTCAAAGGTGCCCGCAGCATCCAGGACTCTCATGGCCCATCAATGCTGAAGGGTGAAGGCTTGAAGTCTTGAAGCCTGCTGAAAGAAACCGGACCCCAGTGCCCAACAGTAGATTTCCAAATTACCTTCGAAGCCTTCCAACGAAAACGGGCCTAGATCGACTTGGGCCTGACCCCAAGCTGCAACTGTAACCATTACCAGCCAAACCTGTATACCAGGGTCCGAAAACCGTCGTTGCAGAGCTGACACAGACAGCAACATCTGTGTGCACAGAGCCTGCTGGGCTGACCTGTATAATATGAAGCAGAATTGAAGACTACAAACGATGTAAGATACTCAGGTTCACAGAACAAAATGTGTACGCATGTACATAGCGACACTAGTACAAACAGGTGTGTCTATGTGTTGCACAATGCAGTCCAGCTCTTCGCCACACCATCACGGTATCGAACTGCTGGCAGAGGGATTTGATTAATTTGATTTGGCAAAATTCAAGCTTTAATGCGACTGAAAGTGTTTCTGCAGTGTCGCCATCAGGTTGCTACCTATAGATTATGTACACACGACAGTCAGCCCCTAAGCATGATGAACAACCAAGACCAAACGAGTGCTTCAGAATCCAATTGTCCTATCACCCTCTTCTTCCCACTGTTCCTCTCTCTTTGCATTATAGAGTTCATGGTCCTATTGGTCCTTTCGAACTTTAGGACTGCTTTAGGCCTCATTCTTTTTGCATACATAAGTTATGAGTTGAAAAACATGCCCCATCACTTAGCACAAGATTCGCACACTCTTAGCTGGCAAACTCAGGACTCTAGATAACACTAGACTCATTGGACTCCACACACTAGACAATGTATACACAGGGGCATATTCCTTTTTTTGCATTGAATGACCCACGGCATATCTTGACTGTTGGAAGCACCAACACTTATAGTTTCATTTTGTTCAGAAGACCCCACCTACATAAACTATAGAAATACACAGCAGCCTACATCGATGTTCTTGCGATCATGTCGAATCAAAGCTTGCACCTAGGCCAATATCAAGCTCGGTGTGAAGCTCACACTGATCACCATGCTCCAAATTCATCTGTGTGGACTTGCCACTGTTTCCAGGCTCGCTGCACATTTTCCTAGAGTCTACACAGTAGCGCCA